TCCACCATTCCAATCTCATAGCCTTCATTGGATAGCGTAAAGATGATTTTTTTTATAGGATAGTGTGCCAAACGAGCACACAGTCCACCTGATGGTAAGTGGTTGCTGTGGCCCATAGACATCTACATCTATCCCCGATTACGAATCAAAATGCAGATGCGTTTTTACCCGTAATGACTAAGATGGAATGCCTCGTTCCCAGTAAAAAGGGTCTCTGGTTCTCTACACTCAACATACGAAACATAGCAGCATTAAGCTACTGTTTTGGTATTCTGTGAGAGCGTGGTCCTTCCCCGGTCGAGCCGACCCATTCGTGCTACAACTATACAACTAATATAACTGCAGCATGGCTCTACCACATATAACATTCGATTCATGAATTCCCTAATACGAGTTGTGTAATGTCAAAAGTTCAAGATTTCTGATACTGTGGTAGCAAATGTGTTGGCTATACAATTGCAATTAGGACAATAAGGCCGATTTTTAACAATGGACAGTTTCATGCTTATAAATAAAATACAGCTAAAATGAAATGTGTGACATTCGTCAAGTTACTTGGATTTTTCGTATGCAAAATATGACATATACAAAATGTTTATCAACATAGGATTTATTGGTGTAAGAAAGTTTTAAATCTGCCCATGAAACATTTACGCTTTTCCACGAAACTTTGTAAATATGTAATGTTTACCCATTGAAGTAATATGTACTTCGTAGTACATAACAGCTCAATGTGTTAACCAAAGAAATCAAACGCTGCCCACGAAGTCAGTAAGATGTTTATTGGAAAGTTGTTTGCAAACGCACAGTTCTAGAAATTGTAAGTTTAAAAACCTCTATATTTTACACGTAACTACCGCTTGGCTGAACAGTCAGTATTCATGATACATTAAAGTAAGAAGTGTAGACGGCTTTTAGATTTGAATTCTCACTGAAACCGATTTTAAACCATGTAACGCCTAAGTCGAATGGGCCTGGACAATACCATCATCGTCATTATAGTCGATAATTGTCATAAATCCATTACCTTCATCGTATGTGTAAAGAAAATGTAAGGATAAAATTAGTGTTGGTAATGCTCCATATAAGTGCATGATACCGTATTGCGTAATAAGTTTTATCTTCATATAGGTTTTACGCGATTTTGTTGTTGATTTTAGTAGTTAAAATTTAATTGAGGGTAAAACTGTCACGACTGAATTTATTAAATACTTAACTGGCAGTCATTATACCTAATAAAATAAATTCAATTGTAAACAAAACAAAATCAGGTATAATATAATAGCCTTCACAAAATTACGGATTATAGTGGTCACAATAAAATTGTTATTTCCAACTGGAGATCGTAGGCCAGTACGCAGGTCAGATTTGTTTCAGTCATAAGTCATTAAGGTTAATAATACAATTTTGGACATAGGTATATTTAGGTATGTAATTTAAATAACGCATATACAAAATAACATATAAATAAAACTTGAGTAGAATAGATACTCGTAGAGAATAGATTTTACGTGGTAGAGCCATGCTACATATAGTTGCAGTACGAAAGGGTCGGCTCGACCGGGGTAGGACCACGCTCTCACAGAATACTAGCGTAAAATAGCAGCTTAATGCCGCTGTGTTTACCGGAATCAAGGCATTCCATTTATTCCTCAGGGGTGACAACGTATTTGCATTTTGATCCTTAGTTGAAAATAAATGTAGATGTCTATGGGACACAGCATTCACTTACCATCAGGTGGACTGTGTTTTTCTACACAGACAAGTGTCTCCGGTTCTCTACACTCACCATACGAGAGAGCGTGGTCCTTCCCTGGTCGAGTAGACACATTCGTACTGCAACCACAATATGGCTATAGCATGGCTCTACCACATAAATGTATGCTTGTTTGTCACCCTTTGGTACAAAAAAATATAGACCTTGTTAAACTAAACATATCTTGCTTTAATTCGTGGAGTGGTGTTGTTAGTTGTTAGAGAACCTTTCACCACATTTCGTTCTGTGAATCTGTAGTCATATATGTAATATCAGACATAACTAAGGGTAAGAGGCGACTGTGGGGATTTACAGAAAATTGTATGGCCTACGATGAATGGTAGTGTAATCAGCTCCTTTTCGCCAGACGTAAACAACCAAGCTTCCGACAAGTCACAGAGTCAAAGATACGAGACGTCTGGTACTGCAGTTATTAATCCTACTGCTAAGCATGACGATTAAAGCATTTCGTCCCTAAACGAGAAAGGCCTCGTCTATTAGTGAATTTTCACGGGCTATTAAAAAAGAAGAAAATTACTTTCAATATTTCAAATTTATAGATTTAAAGTAGCCATTAGAATCATTAAATTGCCTAGCTACAATAATCTTAATTATTTTAAAATAATAGAAAAAATATTACGCGAATCGATTTTAGAATTTATAAAATAAGGCAACTCTTGTAGTGATTAAATTGCAGTATTTTGGTTCATAAACCTCAAGGTTTAATGGTTAAAATCAAATGAAATCGAGCACCAAACTTTTCCCGCAAATGAAATGTAGTAGTACAACTAATAAACTAGTACAATCTTTTCAGCGCAATGCAAATCATTCCGAATCTTATTTCCAAATATCCGTTGACATCATAATTATATCACAACGAAGTGCCTCAAGTTACTGTGATGATCAAAACCGTTCTTTACGCACACGATCTCTTAAAGTCCTTACCGTCTTTTATTGGTCTGTCATCAAGCATCAATGATGTTCTTCTTCCGGTCAATTTCTGTAACCACGAGTATATTAAGTGTGTATTTATCATCGCACTCAAAATTTGCTCAGTATGCGCCTTTTTATGACAGACTATTAAAGTCATGGCCGCGGACGCTATCTAATACATTCATATGCGTAAAGCTATTATAGCCTGGTACTTAATTACAAACACATGTAAATACATGTTTATATCCTTAAACTGATTAATTTTATTGGACACATTTATTTATTATTCAATATATTAACATATTAAATTTCTTACATTCCTGTCAACATAGTCTACAAACTCATATTTGTTGCTTTGTTAAGGTCAAAATATAATGATTTCATTAAGATTGCCATATTTTTTTAACACGGTTTATTCAAAAGAATGAATTTTAAAAGTAGATTGCTTTGAATGAATTGCAGAATCGGATATATTTTTCCACTTACCATTTATTACTTATGGGCGCTTGTGCACTCGCTTCTGTTTAGGTCATTTTCGTAATCTTTAAGTTTAGGCTTCTCGACTTAAATTTTTCAAACACTGTAACTAAAACAGTTTCGATTAAAATTATAACTAACATTAAAGCTTTAAATTTTAAAATACTTACGAGATTAGATACAGCAGAACTTTACCTTCCGTAAGTCCCAACACGCACTTTCCGTTACATACTATTAAAGTCCGTTACTCAACATAGGCCTGTCCCATAGATTTTCTCATAGAGGTGAATTTTTGTGATACGTGCTACGCTTGGCAGGCAGAATTAGTAACTACAGTTTTTAATTTTTTAGTTGTTATAAGAAAGCCGCTACATTTTTGGTTTGTTTCACTCTGGCGCCTTTTACGACACCCATGGAACGACATGAGGCAGTAGATATTCGCACAAAGTATTTATATTATATTCGAGATTCTTTACTCACGAACGCAACTTGAAACTCTCTACGAACTATTAGTGGTAATAATTCAAGTATATATAAGAGAGTGCACAAACGCATATAGCTTACGTTTTTACGAGGCAAAATAGCATTATTTGATTGCTTAAACTTGCTCTGAGCCGTGTCAATACTTATCAGACGAATCTTCGTGTTGTGTCAATTTGTAGATAGAAAAGTATTAAGAGATTAGATACCAGAATCATGTGTTGATTGTGTTGCGTACGAATCAGGTGACCGACGTTGTTGTATTCCAGATATATACTCGGACGTTTGAAACTCGACGGCCTCTAGGCCACCAAGTACAATATTCTTATTTATTAAATTCTTGAAAAATATTTATAATTGTGTGATTAATGTAATTATTGTTTTTTTTTATAAAAGGCTTATCGATGTTTAAATCATTTTCAATATAACATAGGAGTGATTAACATAGAGAGTCGTGGTAGCCCAGATAGGTAGATTCGATCCCCGCCGGCACCAATGAAATTGTTAATTGCAATTTAAGTGCTGATTTACCACGTGAAGGAAAACATCGTGAGGAAATGTACATGTCTGAGGAATAAGAAAAAAATATTTCGAAGACATGTGAAGTTCGCCAACACGCAATGGGGCAGCGCGGCGGACACTTCCTTGCCCTAAAGCCCTCTCAGAAATGAGGGGAGGCCTATGCCCAGCTGTGGAACGTATGTAGGCTGTAACTTTACTTTACTTTATAGGAGTGATTATTGTTTATCACGGATGTTTGTTTACATGCGCGCGTATATGCCGCAAATTATCAAATAAATGTATAGTTATTTAAAGGTCCAATACAACTAATGATTTTCTCAGAAACCATTGCCTGGAACATTAATTAAGAGGGAAATATTTACTTGCTCACATTGATAACATGTTTTGTATTATCGTTTGAAATGATCATGCTTGTTCTTAATAATTTTGGTCTACCGACCGTACATTCGATAGGTATGACGTCGGACTATTATCATAAAAAGTATCGTCCACAGTTTTCTTCTATATTTATGTCGATGTTGTTTGAAAAGATAAAATGTGTAAATAGCGTTAAAGTAAAAAACGTATCGTTTCAGGGCGTCGCCGAGGTACGCGGGGCTGACACCAAGGCGGTGAAGCAGGCGGTCGTATCACCACTACTCCGGCCGTCCGCGATCGCGCCGCACGACTCTGTCGCACTCGACCCACACACATCCTGCGCTTCCCCACTAAACAGTGCTCGCGGACAGTTATAAGCTAACTCTAGTGCCAGTGAACGACACAACGTACCTTGACTCAAATAAAACCCGTGCGAATCCCTAGTGTTTCGGTGCAGTGCTCCGTAGCCGAGTGAATGCGCGTGTGCTTTGACACCCTCTGCTTTGGATCGTCACAGCGAACAGCTGGTGACGATGAGCCGAGGGCCGTAGTACATACAGGTGGAGGAGCGCTTACCGTGGCGCCAACAGTAAACGGCGATAGACGTGCTTTAGACGAAACGTACAGAGAAATAGAATTGAATGGGATAATGGGGACCCCGAGCGCGATGAATTCAGACTCAGAGAATTGCGTTGCGAACGCAACTATGGCCAACGATATGCAGCCATTATTAGAGAGAATTAGGGAGTTGGAGATGTTGTTGAAGCAGCGCGATCAGGAGATGTTGGAATTACGGTCCCAGTTGGACAAATTACAGAGTGTTTTCCCGTATCAGCAGTACGCTAGATCAAGAGGTCCAAGGAAGCAGAGAGCGCAAGGTATCTCTGCTGAACCACAGACGAGCTCTTCGCTTCAGGACCTGACGCATCAAACATTCCCAGTGTACGACAAAAGCGAAACGTGAGTACCTAATTTCGTATTAATTAGAGCATACTTTTTAATTATACGATAGCATCGTCACAATTATGCTCCTTTGATCGACTCGAGGAGCCTGTATTGATAACTCTTATCACATAGTTTCAGATAGTGTTTCCATTTTAAATAATATTATAGTTTCAAAAACTTAAACAACAGGCCTTGATGATAAACGCATGAGCTGTGATAATCCTATTGTAAATACAAGGTCATAGTTATGCATTGATTGTAACGTCATCCGTTCTTTTGATTTTCATTTTAAAATCAAAAATTCTGTTATCTTTGGTGAAAACTAGGTTATAAAATTCAATTACATTAGTACATACATTTTTGAATACATACAGTTCAAAATAATATAAAAGTATAATAAAAACAAATCATTCCGCCACAGTAAAAATTAAGCAAGATTTCATTTCAAAAACGTGACATTCGTCTCGAAAAGTATGATATCTAAAAAAAAAACTACGTAATAAATAATCTAAAGGTTATGTTGTAAGTTGACTGTGTAGAGGCGGTGTAAGAATATCTACTACCCCATATCGCCTATATAGTATACTGTATACCCCACCCCATATGCCATATATAGGCTGAAAAGGTAACGGTAAACTTTCTTTCATAAGATATCTCGTTAACGAAACTAGTTGATCATAAATACATAGGCTGCACTAAAAGTATCGGGAATGGAATATTTCCACTGTTCCTGTCATATTAAAGTCTTTTTCGAAAAAAAATACCATTTATTTATTTAAAAAAAAGATTCTCAGTCTTGTCCATTGGGCTATTATGTACTACGTACTAGAGGCGACATTGCATTCAGCTACTCTGTTCCACTCAACTGCGGTGCATACACCGCACTTTAATCAGTCACTCGCTAGGCGCTTGTAGAGTTGTTACGTGTTGTGTTGATTTAAAAAAAAACTCTTGATAAAAATATGCCGTCGTGTGTACTTAGATATTGTACAAATAATTAAAGAAATGTGTTAATAAGATACTTAATCATTAAAAAATTATTATAGATTATTAATAAAACAAATTATTCCTAAGACGCCAACTCGTGTCATGGAATATAGATTAAGAAATTAATGTGTTCAGATGGGACATTTCTGTGGACACTTAATTATAGGACGAATATATTATTATACACATTTCTTTTGTAGAAACATATATAAGTTATTATAATTAGACTAAATTTTTCACATTTAAATCTGCTTATTATACACATCAAAGTCAAAGTGGAATAAATTCGTCCATTTTTAAGTCTCGCGTGCCCAGCATTTATGAACGATTCTTATTCTAATTTAAATAAATATATTTTTAATTTAAATGTTATGTTAATAAGTTTTGTTAAACATACATTTAGTATGTTTTTTTATATTTGACATAGATACCTTTTAAATATTGAGATAAAAATGTCATTAAAATGTAATTGTGATATAATATTATGTAATATTATATTAAATAACCAAATATAATATACAAAGTAAATGACAAAATTTTAAAATTGTTTTCGATATAATTTACCTATTTAACAATACAATTTACTATTAATAAACCTACTGATCATTCTACCTATGTTTATTCCATGATAAAAATACAGAGTAGCGCACATTTTTTGTTTGAAATAGCTGTTCTAGGTACGTAAGTACACCATTGAAGTATACCATAGTAGTATTACTTCAATGGTCTTGTCACAAAGTTTTGTCAAACTTGTTTAGTCGTTGAAAAAATGGAATTGACTCGAAAAAATTCAAGAGCGATGATTTATTATGACTTTCGAAGTGGTTTAACACAAAAACAGTGTATTGACCGGATGATTTCTGCATTTGGTGATGAAGAATTTTATCCAAAACCACAATCTACCGCTGGTTTGCTGAATTTCAACGTGGACGTGTCAAGCTCAGTGATGATCTCCGTCAAGGTCGTCCAAAAACTGCAGTCACCCAAGAAAACGTTAATGCTGTGCGTAAGCTGATTGAGGAAGATCGACATGTGACATACCGCGAAATTCAGGCAACTTTAGACATTGGCATAAGTCAAATACAAATAATCTTGCATGAACAATTAGGTGTAAAAAAGTTGTTTTCCCGATGGATACCGCATTCGCTCTGTGAAGAGCAGCTCGCGTTACTTGGTGCGTCAGAACTCTCGAAAGATTCCGCGCAGGATCCTCAAATGCTGTATACAACATCGTATCAGGTGACGAATCCTGGATATACGCGTACGAACCCAAAACAAAAAGCCAGTCACGAGTTTGGGTGTTCGAAAATGAGTTAAAGCCAACAAAAATTGTTCGTTCACGGAGTGTTGCAAAAAAAATGGTGGCCCACGTTTGTCTCCAAAACCGGCCATGTTACGACTATTCCTCTTGAGGGACAAAGAACGGTTAATACAGAATGGTATGCTAGCATTTGTTTGCCACAGGTCGTTTCTGAACTCCGTAAAGAGAACTGCAACCGCCGCATCATCCTCCATCACGACAATGCGAGTTCTCACACCGCACACAGAACAAAAGAGTTTTTAGAGCAAGAAAACATAGAATTATTAGACCATCCGTCGTTGAGCCCTGACCTAAGCCCTACTGATTTCTATACTTTCCCTAAAATAAAGAATAAATTGCGTGGACAGAGATTTTCATCACCTGAAGAAGCTGTGGACGCCTACAAAACGGCCATTTTGCAGACCCCAACTTCCGAATGGAATGGTTGCTTCAATGATTGGTTCCATCGTATGAAAAAATGTGCCAAATTTCGCAGAGAATACTTTGAAAAGCAATAAATACATTTTTAAATGGTAATGTGTCACTTCCTTGATTCCCGAAATTTTCAGTGCCGCCCTCGTACAACATTGGAACTATCACAGGCATATCAACAAAAAAAAATATTCAGTTCGCAAGTATTCCATGTTGTTTAATAAATTTAGGAAACGAGCGAACAACGTATACTTTTGTCATAATATGTTAACTGAAAGGTCGTGACTGTCAAATATTTAATTTACTCCTTAAATTTGCACCTGTAAGATCATGGCTAATCATTGCAAACCCTGTCGCAAATAAATCCTTGTTTATTTGCGACAGGATTTGCAATGATTGATATAAACATAACCAAACTATTATAAGCGTGCTACTAAAATGTTAAACCTAAATTATTGTAAAATTATTTATACATAAAAATTATTATTCTAAAGCTAATTATATTAAAGGACCAATCATAAACGCTCTCTAGTTCTCTATTTCCTGATGTTTCTATAGACATTTTATAGCACAAGTGGTAAAATTTAAAGTGAGATCATAATCAATGTAGTCGAAGTCAGTTAAACACGCTTTATTCAGGATAACCCAAAAACTACTGGTCAGATCTTGATCAAATTTATTTGGTACCACATAAGTAGCACCATCTTTTAAAGAAAATAAGAATCATTAAAATTGGTATATATAGAAAAAAGTTTGAGGTAGCACACCTAAAAAATACAATCGAATAAGGAACCTCCTCCCTTTTTTGAAGTCGGTTGAAAATTTAATTTTGAAATCGATGTGATGGAAACGAACTGGAACACAGCTAATGTAGCGAATAAAGTAATTTGATCTTACATGATGCTTTGTTGCCATGTATTTTAGAATATATCGTTTTTCAAAACTAACACAGTCATAAAAATTATACAAACCGGGTAGATTATAATTACTGTATAGTGTAATACATATAACAGTATCTAGTGTACCTACTCACAAACTGAGAAGCACTTGTCTCAACCAGTACCCTTGCATAACTTACGCAATATAATCAAGATAGGGTTAGGTCCAATGTAAAAGTAGCAATCGACTATGCAACAGAAAATCAATAATATATTGTACACAAAGTTTGATGTTGGCGATATAAGCCACGTAACTCATCAAGTAAAATACCCTTTTTAGTTGTAACGAGGTATTCCATCTTGGGTTTCTAGGTTCAGGGGTGCTCGATTAAAATGTCTGTCTGGACAGTGTGCTGTTTGTTAGCCTTTTCAGTCACTCACTCATTTATTAGTTTATTACAGTTTGTCAAAAAGTTCACTCTTAAACATGGCGTCCCTATAGATTACTTCCCATTTGCGATAGTTGCCATGCTTTGCATGGCATTTATTTTTATTATTTTAAACTGCTATCAGGAAGGTGCTGCTGCCCATATCTTGTCCAGTTTCTCTTTGTCGCCTTTCACGATGCCCACGGTATGAAATGGGATAATAAATCTTAAATTTTTTCTCTAAAGGATCCCTTCGGATCTAAGTTATAAATTGTTCTTATGGCTATTTTCTGAATAACAAAGATAGTTTCAATGTCAGTCGCATGACGGCAAGATTCCATATGACATTGTGGTTTTTCGTATTGCCCCCATAACACTGCATCTTCCCAAATTTCTGACATGAATGCGCTGTAGGTACGTCCTCCTACGTAGTACGTACGTCCACCTCGGAGATGAACTAAAGAGCTGAACTAATATTAAGTGTAAGTGTGTAAGTAACAACCTAGGAACGCATACTAAAATTGTGTTTGTCTTCGTATGCATGTGTGCGAACGTACGCGTGGTTGTGTGTGTGTATGTGTGTGTGTGTGTGTGTGTGTGTGTGTGTGTGTGTGTGTGTGTGTGTGTATGCATCTGGATTTGTATGTGTGGGTGTGTGCCTTGTAAATCATACTTTTATAAAAAGATAACAATTCGAAATTAGAGTTTTATGTTGATAAAGAGATTGTATAATACTGTATCTAATAATCACTGAAGAAATCTCAAGTCAAAATTGTTTTTTTGAGCCTGCGTTATTAAAATAATTTAGTCTTTTTATAACATCTGCATGTATCTCGACGCATCAACAATTTTATAATATTTAAGTCACTTAATGCCTCTGTTTAAATCATTTTACAACTTCCGTATATATTACGTCATTAAATTTTTTTAAATTATAATCTTTTGAGCCAATCAACACATATCCTGTAATAACGATGTAGTATAATTTTT